GAAGCCAACATTGAGGTGTATTCATCTTCCCGATCTCTTTCGTCTAAAGAAGAAAAATAACATCTGCTGCTCTATTATTCGATATTTACATGGAATTGTTAAAATTTTTCAGTGCAACTAGCCACATACAGCTTACTTGCCATATGGCTTGTGCCTTGTGGCAAATTTGCCATGCGTCTTTCACTGCCATTCGGCTCCATTTGCCACCCAGCGATATGAGGAAAGTTGAAGTCCATCTCAATATTACTGTGTGTGCTCACCTGCTTAGGTTATAAGTCACATGCAAAGTACTCTTAATTCAAACAGGTAGGACCCGACTAATGATTTTGAAATCTGTCATGCACGTAAATGTTAGAGGGGTCTGAGAATTTGTTTTGAATTGTGATTAGAGAATAGTAACAGCCAAAAGGAAGCTGATGGTCAACAGGGGATTACCAGTGTTCCTTGTACCTGACAACAAACCAAATGTCTGAAAGCATCACGTGCTATGTGAGTGGGTAGTACTAACCTGTTATTCTCACCATGCCAATTGCATGAGAATGCATCTACTTGTGCCAGGTACTGAATAGTTGGAATTGAATCTTAGCAATTTTGTGTTTCAGCTGAAAACCAATCCATTGTATGGGGTCCCCATATATCATCTACAAACTGAAAGAATTCTTGTGCAACCCCCCAAATCATCCAAATCTACTTATTGGCTGATCTCGTCAGCGTGCTGATTAAATTCTGTAGGTGTCCGCTGTACATCTACTTGGATACTATGGTGTCTACTACCACTGGGCGATTAGCGAATTTTGCTAATCGATAACTCATAACACACGAACTAATCCCGATTAATCACAAGTAGTGGCAAAAATTCCGAGACGCGGTGCCAACACGTGAATATAGTGCTTTCATCAGTTTCATTGCAGAAATTCTGCACAAGTATAATGCACACTATGCAGTAGCAAGTGCCCGGGCAAATTTGTTTTGTGTTTCTGCTTTTATGTTATTTCATTAATTCTGAAATCTGGAAAGCTAGTGGCAGTATTCTCCGTAGCTGCTGTAAAATTATCACAATTACATACGGGTTATTCTAGGAAAGTTTTGGCTCAGATTCCATTCTGAACGTGTGCAGGACAATTTTAACCCCTTGACGGCAGGATATTTTCACCGCATCCTGCCAGGCTGCCTTTTTTCCCCCCCAATTTTGCTAACGGGGACCGCAGACATGTAGCAAGGTCACCAGGCCTTATCTGCCAAGTTTGCTGGGTCGCACACTGCACAAAGACCAGCTCTGTGTGGCCATGATTCATGCTGGGGTATTTGGATCCCATAAAACATAATAACCAGGCACCCAGCACTTGCCTTACCCAAGCGACAACACTAACTACCCAATGACAATTGGCCATAGCCAAGATCACAAGGTCTAGGCTTGCTACAGGTGGGCACCGTGGCTCATGTTCCCGCTCCTCAGTAGTCCATGCATGCCCAGCAGCAATGCCCAGCCCCCACTTGTACATAGAATGTGCTTCACAAGTTTTTATTTCATCAAATAACCAGTCAATATTACCCGTAAAATTACCAATTTTTCATCTTGCACTATGTACGCACATAATTTTCTTGCATATTTTTAATGTTTTTTGGCAATTTATATTCAAACTCCCTTTCTGAATGTAATTATATATCTTACACAGCCCCCTTCTAACTAAACTTGCAACCATCCCATGAAAATTATCGTCCCAAATAATCTTTCCCATAATTATTAAATAAATAGACACAAGAAAAACACGACGACTTCTCACTTTTCTCCTTCTCTTGACGACTTGTCATTTCTTATTTTTTCACTTCTCTTCTCACTTGCGTGTATTTGCAATAATTCAAACTGAATTTTAGAAATAAAATGACTTTCTTTTAAAAATCTTAGGGAAAAAAGGAAAGAAAAAATAGAGCAGTTGCATTACACGATGTCTTGGAATACAGGTAATTGATTAAGTATAACAAACCTTGAAGGAGTTGCCCCAAAATTTCATGTACTATTTCATTTACTACATCTGGGAATACAGGAAACATGGCATAAATAAGCAAATGATTCAAGTGTGATAAACCTTGAAACAAGGAGCAGGGCAGAGTGCTACTTCACAAATTTCACACATAAATCTAGTCTCTTTTCTTTTACCGTTTCTGTAACAAACATCATACCGTCTGTATGATCTAGCTCATGTCCAGTTGGGGGAATTTCTACAACAAAATGTCTTCCTATCAGTCTACCTGGACCAGGAAGACGGGATGGTCTACCTCTGGATTGATACACTGGCAAATTTGGTGCATGCATCTCTAAAATTTCACTCACCAACATGTGTCTAAATGTCAAAAAACTGTCGGTGCCACCAATTTCCTCATACACAAGATAAGAGTTCACAAGTGCAACATGAAGCAAAAATAAGAACCCTTTCTTATACCATTTGATTGATTTTCTTACTGAATGGTGCGACGATGCCAGCTGGTCTGCAATGTCCACACCCTTCATCCCGTCATTGTAGTTGAGTACACACCTTAGTTTTCCCAAAGCGATGCCGTTGCGGTTCCCCTTTCCGGTGTTGGCCATCTTGGCTGTAGGCATCGTGGACAGCATACGGACATCCTTTTTGTCTTGCCAGACCAAGGCGAGCAAGCCCTGGTTGCAAGAGTGGTAAACAATATCACTTCTCTCGAGTTTCAAGGGGCACTAGTCCTTGGGCAAGTCTGGACGACATTCGTCTTGTGGTCGTTTAGTCTCAGGTACAGTTTAGGGTTGCTGAATCAGTTGTCCAGGAAAATGGTGTACCCTTTGCCAAGAAGATCGCCGTTCAAGTCAAGTACGTTTTTCGTACTTGCCAGTTAAATAGTCTGGTCATGACCGGTGTAAACCTTGAAGTTCCAGGTGTATCCAGCGGCAACTCCCGTGCTCTGGCAGACTCGATACACCTTGATGCCAAACCTCGCACGCTTCTTGGGGTTGTACTGTTTGAACTTCTGTCTCCCTTTGAATTTCCAAAGGGACTCGTCGGTAGTAATGTTGCTAGACGGAATGTAGACGGACTTGAACTTCCCTGTCAGTTCGTCTATCACTGGGTGGAGCTTGTAGAGTCGATCATTTGTATCTGCACGGCTGTTATCGACGAAATGCAGATGGGACAGCAAGTCCATAAATCTGTCACGGGGCATGGTATTAGGGAAAAACGGAGTCTCAAGTATTGAGTCTCTCATCCAGTAGGACTTCAAGTCGGGTTTCGGCATCAGTCCCATGACGACCATCATAGACAGGAACACTGACATCCTGTCTGGTGTTGTGTCAAATCAGCTTCTCATGTGACTTAGACTTGCTGCTTGACTTTTCGGGTGTTCAGCGGCATAGTGGTTGGTCTCGTTGGCAATGTGCAACGTCAACTCTGGGGTGAAGAACTGCTCGAAGATTTCGACTGTTCTCGTCCAGTTTTTGCACTTGAACATCCTCTGTGCCTTGAAAGCCGTGTCGGCGGGGAAAGTTGTCATCAGCCATCCATTGAATGGAGGAAGTCTTGACCTTCTTCTTGGCGGGCCTCACTAATGGTGGTTCCCCATTAGAATTGCTGTCACTAGTTTCAATTTCTGAACTATATTCAAATTCTGACGTGAAATCTGAACCACTAGTCGCCGTCAGAGTTTCCTCTTCACTGGAAGACATTGTGTAACGCAACTGAAGCGCCGGGGAGTGGCCAGGAAAATATATACCAAGCGCTACAGAAAACACTCCTTTTTGGACGAAAAAAAAAAATAAAGCCCTGACAGCAGAGTCAACGACTCTCCACGGAGATTACCCAGGGTATTCAATCAAAGACAAAGGGGGTGTTCTGATGAATAAAATCCAATTTACTGGGTATCGTGGGGTCGACCAACTCTCCTTGTTGCCCCAGATTTCCATTCATTGCAAAGCTCCCAGTAACTACACGTGTACACTAATTAAAAAGTTGCAGGTGTGGTATGCGGCTACCACAGACATCCGGAAATTAGACTTTTCTCCAGGTGCGGCATCTGCTGTCATCCATCGCGAAGGGGTAATAAATCTTTGTTGTGGAGGCTCTAATACAGACTGCAGATTCCTTCCGTTTTAAAATAAAAAAGCTGCTAGCTTGTCTGAAACTGTTTGAATAAAATAGTTCTTGCCTTTAAACGTGGGAAAAATTCTGATTACTCAGTTACTTTTATTCCATATTCTCACTCTTTGAAGTTCTAAAAAACCTCCCTAAACTTCTCAATAGTATAGCCCACAGACATTGTTGTTCAGCTTTCATTCATTGTTTGAGCATGTGAGGCAGTATAAATAATCCATCACTAACTGACTGATTGCAACCACAGTCTCGCGACGTCATTTTGGCACTGCTAAACTCAGTTGAGACTGCCGAAATACAGCAGGCGTGCCCTGGATCATGATTGTGTAAAGTGGCATGTCACCACCTGTACTCTCACAGTGTACATGTTCAGTGTAGTAGTGTGTGTAACTTAATCGGTACTCCATAATAATCACTACTCGCATATAATTCTACATTTACTACATGTATTCGTGCTGGTGTGATTAATCGATTAGTTGCAAATCCACGAGTAGTGAAACGAGTAGGAGGAACTAATCACGATTAATGGATTAATTGAGATAATCGCCCAGCGGTAGTGTCTACAAAGTTGGAAATATCGAGACTTAAAAGTAATTCTTTTCTTCCATATTACGTTTGCTTACTGTGTGCTCACATGACACCTTTATTGTCTGTGCGTAACAATGATTTCACGCTTTGTTTGCATGTGTACATTTCTATGGGAGCTTGATGGATCGCATCCCAGCTCACTGCCATAGTAAAGTGCACGTGTAAACAAAGAGTAACGTCATAATGTTGCAGCGCTAATTAATTACCATTAGACACAAATTACCAATCTGCCTTCATGTATGTCCTTGGGTTCTTCGGCTCCACGTGCACAAACATGCACATGTTTATTTATTTTCTTCACAGCTATCCTGATCTGAAATCTCTTCACGTTCTCAATGCTCACCCTGCCAACTGTATTTGCATTGAGTTTGACCCAACTGGAAAGTACTTTGCAACAGGAAGTGCTGATGCTCTTGCCAGTTTGTGGGATGTCAAAGAACTTGTTTGCCTGAGGACTTTCTCAAGGTACTGTGTAATTTTGTTATGTTTGGAAAAAAAGTAAAGAAACCAAGCATGTTGTCTATCCCCCAGAGAGAAAGGCTATTTTTGCTGAATTGTACAATTATTTTGTAATTTATCATTGCATTCAAGTTCCCTTTCAGAAAACGTGTACAATGTCTATGGTGGAAATTTGTTAAATATTGAAATTTTTCCCTTACTTTAACTAGGATAATGTACCGTAACTTTCAAAATATAGGCCGCACGGAGTATAAGCCACACCATGCAAACATCTGCAAATTAAGATTTTAAAGTCCAAAAAGTTGAAATGCTAGTACATGTAGAGTATTACAGTATGTGAGGCACTTTGATGTTTTCTTGACTTTCTTCATAGTAATGCTGCAAAAACCTCTTACTTTTATAGGATACAAGCTTTTGCACCTTTGTGAACAATATCAGTGTCAGGAAATTTTTTCAAAAATTCAAACACGTTAGTGTCTGGAAATTAGGCAAAAATTTCAGAAAATCTCACAAAGACGTTTCAGAAGTAATTCAAAATTGATAAATTCTGACGAATAAATATCACCTCCACTAACATACCCATCTAATAAATTGTAAACAATTATTTTGGGTTACATTTTAACCACTTCGCGCCGGGGACATTTATGAATGTTGATGATGATGGAATGGGATAATGTTGTGTTTTCAAAATTTACTGGACACATACACCCACACGAAGGACTGTCTGGTTTCTGCTCTAATCTGACAGACAGAGTCTATTGATGCTGGAGTATTTCGGCCAGGTCTGCTGCCTTGTAAAAAGAGGCCAGATTGTGCGGTGTTACGTAATTTTCTTTTATTCACGAACCTGGCACAGTGCACTGCTGACCTCTTTTCAGTGGGGGTCAGATTAGGGTGCGGCAGTACTGTGTGGCTCATCACTGCCATAGTGGAGTGCTTTTGTCCCCGATGGTAATCCACTTGTGCTAAATGCCCCAAACTGTGGTATACTGTTTCAAAACAAGGCTGGATTATCTCCACCATTGAGAGTGAAAAAATGTTGGTATTTCCCTGCAGCCTGGTCTTTTGTTACAAGTACGGTCTTTTGTTACAAGGCCCAGTTCCCTTTGTCCAATTTCAGAGACCCGGGCCACTTGTATAAAGAATACATGTCTGGTACAAGCAACCCCGGCGGCAAGTGGTTAAAAGAGTTTATTTTGTACTTAAGAAAAAAAATCAGTAAATTTGGCCAAAGTAAAATTTTATGAGAACTTTGTTGTGGGTAATCAGAATATAGATCTTTGATTAAATTTCACCAGTTATGAAATTTGAGGTAAACTTTTGCTCCAATGATACACTAACATTAGTGGCAACAGACGCAGAAGTTCATTTCATTGCTCTTTACATCGCACTTTACACTTATACCCTGTGTTAGCTCCCCTGGAGTCTGTCTTAAGTCCTCAGTTTGTCCCTTCCACCAGGGGGGCGCTCTATATATCAAAGTGCCCCTTAACCACTTCGCGCCATGGTTAGTTATCAATGTTGATGATGCTGGGCCAGGATAATTATCATTTTTTCTGTTTTCAAAATTCTTAAAAAAATTCACCATTTCATTTAATGGATGTTTATACCCACATGAAGTAATCTTTAGGCACTACTCTAAGTTGACAGGTGACCGTCATTGATGTCCGAGTGTTATAGCCAGGCCCGTAGCCTTGTGGAAAGAGCCCAGATTGTAACTTTCTTTTGTTCACGAACCTGGCTCGGTGTATGCTGAACTCTTTTCAATAGGGGCCAGATTAGTGTGCAGAGGTGCTGTGTGGCTCATCGCTGCGGTGGTCCCCGGTGGTAATCCGTTCACTCTAAACATCCCAAACCATGGTTTACTGTTTCAAAGCAAGGCTGGATTATCTCCACTTTTGAGAGTGATGTCGGTAATGCCCAGCTGCCTGGTCTTTGTTCGGGGTACGGTCTTTTGTTACAGGGCCCTGTTTCCTTTGTACGAGTTCGGTGACCTCGGCCATGAATATAAAGCCTATGGCTCCACTACCATAGCCCCCAGCGGCAAGAGGTTAAAATCACAAAGGGTCTGTGGACCAAAGGGGCAGCAACTACTGCCTAATTCACGTACCACAAGCCTTGGGACCAGTAGAGGCATTGACTCGGAATTTGTTCACAAATTCACCGGTCCTCCCCCTCAACACCACAGATTCTCTCGTCAGTCCTTTCAGACTTTACAAGCCGGCCTTGGAGAAGGAAATGGCATCTCTGAAGGGAAAAGAATCATAGTCTTTGATCATCTACCTGACTCCAAAGCAGTCTGGTGACCGGCAACCAGTCATCAACCTTCAACCCCTCAATGGTTTCATCTGATGAAGCATTTCAGGATGAAGACTGTGGCTACAGTCTTACAATGTTTCCCCGGTGTTAATGGGCTATGTTGTTTCATCTGATTGATGCCTATCTCCATAATCCATCCATAGGAATCATAAACAGTTTCTACAGTTCCTTTACATGTACCAGGTCATGACATACAGTATCAATACGAGTGTTTTCCCGTCGGCCTATCCACAGCACTGTGAGTATTCATGAGGATCACCAAAGTACTTCCTACAGCTCTTTTCCATCAGATATTCATTTACTTGTATACAAGTATATACCTGGAAGTCTGGGTTGATCATGGGCCCTTCTAATGCAGTGACCCTTTTTCACTACTGTACAGCTCACTCCAGACCTTGGCTTTATTTACAATGCCGAAAAGTCTTCTTTGTTCCCCTCATAGAAGCCAATATTTCTCAAAGCGTCTCTTAACAGGAAGACTGGTAGGGCTTCTCCCTCATTGGAACACTTTTTTTACACTTGGGAAGTGCATTTCTTTGTGGCTGCAACAGTCCACCCAGCCTGGGCTTTGCTTTGTCTTCTGGATTTCATAGCAAACTTACCCTGGTGTTAGATGCTTTTATGTGCCCACTCCAGCTCCATGTACTGGTGCATGTGCACGTACAGTACTCTGCCAATACTCTCCTCAGAAGGATGCTATTACCATGCCAATTTCAGTGAATTACTTCATCAAGTGCCATGATTGCCATCTCAGATGGTGGCTTTCACGTCAGAACCTTCTCTGCTACACCTCATTTCCATGGCCCTTTCCAACAGCATCACTAACAATAGATGTTTTAGAGTCAAGTTGAGATGCTCATCTGGAGAGGGCTGCCCATGTACTGGAGACATGCTTTCTGGGCCTGTGGCACATCGGAATCAGGGAATAGGGCTGAACCCTTAAGGCCTCCAGCCTCTACTCCCGGTAAACAAAGAAATAAGAGTTCACACCATGCTGGGTCTGGAGCTGCACTCCCTTGGTCTCCAGTCTCTGGCCCCTCCAAGGTACGTAGCAGAAAAAAGGGCCACTCTGGGGATGACAAGACACTCCCTGGACCCCCAACAATTCTGCCCGAGAAAACTTGGATAACTCCCATTTTACGGGACTAGCCTGGGTGGATGCCAGATTGTCTGACACACAACGGAGCTGGAAGGAAAACCTGGCTGACTCCCTTGAGAAGGTGTGTCAGTCTACTAGATGTGTCATCGGATTCTGACAATCGAACTTGGCCCCACTTAGCTGAACCAGATCAGGGCCATGCAGCTTCAGCTGAGTGTGACATTGGTCATGTTGTTAAGAGTGAACATTGTGGAGAAGGTGTGGTGTCCCAACACTCAGTGGCTATTTCTTCTAAGTACGAGTTGTCCATGGTGCAAACACTTTCTGCCGTTGATAAGTGGATACATTCGTTAATGAAAGAAATGGTCAGAATGTTTAACATACTGCTGACACGTGACCCAGTGGCAAATCTTAATAACCACTGTTCTTTCAAAAATGTACAGGCCCACCTGATTCCCAGGAATCAGATTTCCTGGCTTTTCCTATCTACCGCTGTTGTGTTGACTGGATCCACACATTGACAGCTGTAATAAATGACAGCCATTTGTGGTAAAAAATAAATGTTTGGCCTTTCTAGGTGCCATGGTCTGACTTTGATGATTTTCTGACAGTCCGGACATTTTGCTGGCTGCATCTCACATAAATCCCCATTCGCCAGCTAAAGAAATAAAACTGAAGATGTACAGTAAAATCTCGATAACTCAAAGTCAGTTAACTTGAAACTCTGCTTAACTCGAAGAATAATTAATTCCCCGCCGAAAGAATAGGCTTTGATGTACAAAAACATATCTGTAACTCGAACTGCTCATGCTGCCGGATTCGTTTGCCTTGAAGTTTTTGTGTAGCAGATCCAAAAGAAACCGCCGCTAAATACTTCCAGAAAGTGTAAACAGAACGCCTTGGTCATTTCCACATGAGGATCATTCTTCAGTCATACCCGAGAAAAATTGCTGCAGAAAAATTTAAGTCGGTCGGTGTAGGCAACGCAATGGCAAATCTGCTTCAGCAGAAAAATCTTCTACCAAAGAGAGGGGCTTCAGCCCCAGTTTGGAATTTCTTTGGGTTTGAACAAGACCCCGAAAAGCCAGGTGAAGTGCTTAATGCGAGCAAAGTTGTCTGTGCTTTGTGCGGCAAGAAGTTGCCTTATGGCTCGGGTACTTCGGTGATGCACAAACACCTGAAGTCAATTCATACGAGAGAGTGGCGTACTCTTGATACGAGTCATTCGACTACAGCAACATCAGCGTCTCCGAGTCGATCTAAGTCTGCAGAGACTTCCCAGAGTTGTAGACCCTCTTCCTCAAAGCCGAAAGAACTTCAATGGCAGTCAATATTGGTAAGTGTACATTTGAATCATTTACTGTGAAAATTGATCACCGAAAGTGTTTTTGTTTCCCAAAAATATTTGGTGCGACCTTTTTCGGTGTCTTTGCCTTGAATGGGTCAATGCGGGAATTGCATTGAATTTTAAAACATCAAGCTGTAGGCTACTGCAACAGCATCATGCCCAGTTGTCAATTAGCCAAATCTGCCTACTTATTCTGGAAACTGATGAAAAATAAGCTTTAAAACTGTAGAGCTTACGAAG